GGAATCATGCACACCTTCATTCTTGTGTCTAAGGGTGTGTGGGTAGGTCTGGAGTTGGAGCAGGCCGCAGGAAGAAGGTGACATTGGAGCCAAGGCCTGTGAGGGAAGGAGCGTGCAGATACCTGGGATAAAAGCAGCCTAATCAGAGGAGGTAGCAAATGCAAAGGCCTTGAGGCGCGATGCCCCATATGTTCAAGAATATTGAGAAGGAGGCTGGTGGGAGTGAGAGGGAGTAGTGGGAATTGAGGTTCAAGAGTTTAGAAGGGGGTTGAGGGTACAGCTCAGTGGTAGAGGCATGCTGTGTGAGGCCCTGGGTCAATGCCCAGCACCCTACAGCAGAAACAAAACGAAGTTCAGAAGGGGTCAGGGGCAGAATGTGTGGGGTTTTGTAGGCCAAGGAGAAGACTCTGGTTTTTATCCTGCATAAGATAGGAAACCATCCAGAGAGTTTTAACCAAACAAGTGACCTGATCTCACTCTGACAATGAGATTGAGACCAGAGTATTTATAGGAGAGGGAAAGGATGAAAACAGAATATGAGGAAAGAACAGTTTGGACTGAGGTAGTAGCAGTGGTGGTGGGAGGGCTCAGATTTGGGCTAAGGATTCAAGATTGAGGGCAAGGTAATAGATGAAAGAAAATCTCTCAGAATTTGCTACCAAACATGATTTAAAAACCAGCAAATGGCTTCTAAAGATATTTCTCCAAAGAACATTTACAAATGGACAATAAGGATATGAAAAGATGCTGAAGATGCTGAATGTTGGGAATAAGTAGAGAAATACAAACCCAAACCACAGTGAATATCACCTCACACCCAATACTTTGGCCACTGTAAAAAAAGAAAACAGAAAATAACAAGTATTGGTAAAGATGTGGAGAAACTAGGACATTTGGCAAGTTGGAACTTTGGGTAGGAATATGAAATGGTATAGCTTTTGTCAAAAATGTTATGGCAGTTCCTCAAAAAATTAAACAAAAAAATGTGATTCTGCTTCTGGGAATATATCTGCTTCTGTCCACTGTGGTATGGATATAAAAACATTCATTTCTCCCAAAAGTTAATGCGTTGAAGACTTAGGCCCAGGGAAGCAGTACTGGAAGGTGGTGGGCTTTTAAGAGGCAAAGCCTAGTAGTAGATTTATAGGCTACTGGGAAGCTGTCTCTGGAAAGGGTTGCGTGGCCCCAATCTCTCTGGCTTCTTGTACTGAGTAGTAATCTCTTCCTACCACACATGAGCTTTGTATTGTGATACTGTCAGCCATGAGATCTTCACCAGAGCCAAGCTGATGCCAGCTAAATGTCCTTGAACTTCCCAAAACTACTTAAAGAAACCTGTTCTTTATAAAGTGAGCCTGGCTCAGGTATTTCATTATAGTAATCAAAAACAGACTAATGCAATATCCAGAAGAATTTAAAGCAAAATAGGGTATTATTTGTTTGTTTTGTTTTATCTTGGTACTGGAGACCTTCAAACAAAGGTCTTTGAAAATGTTAGGCACGCCCTCCACTGCTACACTACATACTCAATCCTGGAATAGATATTCTTAGACAAATGTTTATAGGAGTATTATTTACAATAGCCAAAAGTGGAAGCAATCCCAAGTCTACCAATAGATGAATGGATAAACACAATTCCGTATATACACTTGGTGGTCTTATTTTACTCTTGAAAAGGAAGGAACTTCTGACATATTCTACAGTGTAGATTAACACTGAGGACACTATTGTAAATAAAATAAGCCAGACACAAAAGGACAAACATTGCATGATTTTACCTGCATGAAGTATTTAGATTAAACTAGAAATAGCAAAAACGTCAGGGACTAGAGGGAAGTTGTTTCAGTTTTGCAAGGTGAAAAACTTCTGGAGATTGGTTTTACAACAATGTGAACATACTAAACACTACTCAACTACACACTCTAAAATGGTTAAGATGGCACATTTGATGTTGTGTATTTTATCAAAATTTTTAAAAATTTAGAACGCGGCACTTTACAGAAGTGTATATTTTCATTAAATTTACCAGCAGGAGGAGTCAACATGGGGGAATTTTCACAGTCCTTAGCGTCACCACACTGGTGAACTTTGTTTTCATGTTCTCTTCTGGGGTCATTTTTCTCCTAGCACTTACCACTGTAGAATGTACATTTCACTCATTTGTCTGTTTCTCCCATCAGAATATAATTTTATCATATTCTGCTTGAGAGCAGAGAGGAATTTTCTGCATAATTGTCACTACCTAAGAGAGGAATTTTCCAATACATTAGTGAGTTCCTTGTGTTAGCTTTCCACCATAAAACAAAATACCTGAGCTAAACAACTTACAAGGAGAAAAAGTTCATGTTGGCTTGTGGTTTCAGCTGATGGTCGCATTGCTTTCGGGCCTGTGGTGAGGCAGAACATCATGGTGGGGAGTGCATGATGGAGGAAATGTGCTTACTTGATGGCAAATGGGAAGCAAGAAGAGAGAGAGGAAGGGATGGGGTCCCAGTATCCCCTTCAAGGTTACATCGCCAATGAGATAACTTTTTCACACTAGGCTCCATCTTTTAATGCTTTTGCCACCACCCACTAACGCCGCAGATTGGGGACCAAGTCTTTAACACACAGCCTTTGGGATACATTTCAGATCCAGTCTGTAACAGCCTTCCATGAGGAAACGTACAAGTGAGGACAGGTTTCTTACTACAGTCTGCTTTATGGCTTACCAAAGTACCTCCACCAGGGCCTGAGTGACTACCTGACTTATAGCTACTATTAAAAAAGAAAGACAAAAAGGGCTGTGTGCAAAAGTTTTGAGATTACGTACAATTACAATGCTGAATGTTAAACTTAAATATACTTATTATTCTATGTGGTAAAGAGATAAAATGATATTTTATCATTTAAGATCATTATGGAATTGTCTGGTATTATCTGTGACTATGATGTTTCTTACAGTATCTGTTAAGAGATTTCTGGAATATCCTTGTTCAAATCATCAAAGCGAAGTTTTTTTTTTTTTTTTACTCTATGAAGGCTATAAAAACTGAAATGTAATTATATTCACTGCAAATATTGGGAAAGAACTATGAGTTTGCTATTTGTGTAAGAAAAGCTTCACAATATATATGCAAATTGGGCAAATGGAGTCGGTTTCTCTATGGTACTACGAATAAAAGACATTTAAGCAAATCATAGGTACATAGAAAATCTCTAGTTTTGCAGTCTATTTTCTCAAATAATGGGAAATGAACTTTCAGTAAAAAGTACTTGGGGACCTTGAGTGAATGGGTTTATTTTTCAGAGGAGTCAAGTGCAGGTTGGAAGGGGAATTCCTAGAATACCTAGAGGATCTGACTAAATGCGTTTCTACCTAAGCTATTAAGTTACAATAACTAAAAGGTGATAATTTATCTCCTACAATGGCCTTTCCAATTAAATATAAGTGAAATTTAGGTAGTGACAATTATGCAGAAAAAATATTATACTAAAAATGATCAACATACAGTTTTCTGCCTTCTCACACTAACCAACTCTACCTGTTCTCAAGGAACAGACTGTTCCCCACTGAGTTTATCCAAATTCAGACCCCAAAAGTAAAGCCCATATGTGCACTTTTCATCACAATAAAAGGAAGGCCGAAGCTACATGCTGCCATGTGTAAATAAATTCTGTATAGGTACCACAGATGGACGGGATTATATAGTTTAAGATCTGAAGTAACAAGGCATTTAAAAATACCCGAGGTTTACAGCAACTGTCCTGATATCACTGACTGCATAAGCAATTGCAATTTAGTTGAAAATATATGGTCTAGACCTGATTGTTTTTGCAACGGTTGAATAAAAGATCACAATGCCATTCCTGCAGCTGTCCCCAAGCAGTTAAACTCCTCACTGAGTTTCTTCCCTATGACTTTTGAAACGGGGGCCGGGGGGGGGGGGCTGTTGTGTATTTTTAGGGCACTCCCAGGGAACCTCACTAAAAAATTCAAGTGCGTTCTGCTGATGTGCAAGACACATGATGATCCTCCAGACCTATGACTTGGAATAAGGGGTAACCCTACAATTCTTTGCCTTGCCCTTATTGATTTGAGGCACAAATAAGCACAGATTGACCAAGTGGGGGTACATGGAAGCCGCCGTCCCGTTTTGAGGCTCCTGTGAAGGCAGGTAGTAACGATTTTAAGCCTAAAATTGGTTTTTGGCAGACTCTAGCCCTAGATCAGTTTCCTCCTTCGTCTGTTAGATGTTTCCACCTCTTAACCTTTCACAAGCGTCGAGAAAAGGCGGTCACCTCAATGGGCGACGACGATCTAGAGGCCGCGCGAGAACAACACCCCACGCCCTTCTGGCGGGGTCGCGCGCGCCCGGCGCTGGGCGGTCCGCCCGGGAGCTGCCCTCTTCCAACATGGCGCCGCGGGAGGCGGGTCCCGCACGTCGGCTCCCGGGGTTCCGGCGCCGGCGCGTTTTGGTTCCGGAGTAACAGTGCGCCCGCCGCCGCCTTCCTCTTCTCGCCGCCACCGTCGCAGCCGGGTCGCGCGGTTCGGGTAGCGGGGGCTGACACCGCACGCGCCGCGGCCTCGGGTTCCCAGAGGGGAGAGGACTGGCTCCCTGACCCTCCGCGCAGGGCCCCCCTCAGCTCTCCAGGGGTCCGGCAGCCCCGGGCTTCCTCCCTGGTCGCCCCGGACCGAGTCCCGCCGGGTCCGGGACCCTCCCCTCGGCACTGCGCAGGGCTGGACACCTGCCGCTGAATGTCCCCCGTCCTTGCTCTGCAGCTTCCGCAGGTCCACACCGCCTGCCCAGAGCGTCACCGTCCCGTTCGTCCTCTTCCAACTGCACAACCTCCCGACCTCCGGTTCCTCCTGGCCCCGGCCGCTCCCTAGGGCGCCCTCCCCGGGGGACCCCTCCGAACCCCCGAGCCTGGCCCTGTCGTGCCGGCGGGCCCCTCCTGGGCACCCCTCGTCCTCGCGCCCCCTGTGGTCACCGCTCGGAGCCCCTCCTTCGCAGGGGACAGGATGTGAGCCCCTTTAACCTGTAATGCTGTGGCTGGGCCCCGGCCCCTGCCGCGCCATGGAGAACCAGGTGCTGGTGATTCGCATCAAGATCCCAAATAGTGGCGCGGTGGACTGGACAGTGCACTCCGGGACTCAGTTACTATTCAGAGATGTGCTGGTGAGTGGTATCTCAGTGTCCCAATCCCAGGGAGGGGGACTCGGAGTTTGGGGTAAGCAGCTCCTTCACCCCCGGTGGCCTGCGCTACTGGTGGTGGCCATTGCCGGCCTCCTTGGGCAGGTAGCTTTTTCTTTTCTCTCTTCAAGCACAGCGTCTATCAGTTGCAGCCACTGAGGCCGGGCGGATGTTCAGGGTCCCTGGAAAGTTAAGTGAATCAGATTGAACCCCTGTCCTCAGCAAGCGCACAGCCCGGGCAGGGACGCACAGACGCTACCAATCGGGATATTAAAAGCTAAGTTTGCAAGAGAGTTCTGTCCCGAGTGATCGAGGAATGTCCCTGGCCAGATGCCAGCCATGTCTTTCTTCTGAGTTCTCTGAATTTGGTGGCCTGCTGGGGCAGGGAAACCAGGGCGACTGTAACTTACAATATTTGCGCACAACCTAAGATGTCCTGCGTTCTAAGACAAAAATTTTACCTACCGCTAAGAAAGAAAAAAAAACACTGCCTGTGAAACTATGACAAAAGCAGCCCGATTTCAGAGATATTAAAGTAGAGGGGAAATATGCATCTTAGAGATGATTGTGTATTACCTTTAGGATACCCAGAATATATTTCAAATGAAATTATGGAACATTAGGGCTGAGCGTGACCCAGTAGGCCCTGTTTGGCCCATGCACCTTTTGCTGTTTTGTTTTGTTCTTCTCAGGGAAATACTGTGGTGAGGTAAGAGGACTTCTTCACAGCTGTGTAGTTTCTGGGAGAGTCCGTACCAAAACTCAGATTTCCTTTCTCTTAGTAGTTTTACCTCATGCTGCAGCTGTTTTGTGGCTTTTTTTTTTTTTTTGTCTTTTTGAGGCAGGGCCTGGCTATGCAGTTCAAGCTGGCCTTGAGCTCACTTTGTAGCTCTGGCTGGTCTCGAACTCGCGACGATCCTCCCGCCTCAGCCTCCCAAGTGCTGGGATTACAGGTGTGCGCCACCATGCCTGGCTGTTTTGTAGCTTTGTAGTCTCAGTTTGACGTGTACAGATTGCGTTGTGCCCATTTTATATATTGAATCCAAAAGGCACGTTGGAAGAGGCAGACATAGCAGAACTTACCTGCATGTAAGAGGGGCCTGAATGGCAGGTTTTGAAGAAGACTTGTGATTTTTTTTTATTGTCTTGGATAAAAATTTGATTCCTGTAAGTTTATTTTGAGTTCTGGATGTTGCTGACCATCCAAGCATGCAGATTTTCAGAGGCTGTACTGAGCCAGCAGCTTCCAGCCTCATGAGGGAGTACTGTCCTCCCTGCATCTGGAGCTCTCCACACTGATGCACACAGATTTTCTCCATAGGCCCAGACTCCTTATCATAGTCCTCTGGGTGCATCTCGATTGGCTCTGACCTGCCTGGCACCCAGCTTCCTCTCTTTCCACACCTCCGTGAGCGCTCTGTGCTCCAGGTAAGCAGAGTTACTGTCAGTTCTCCCCAGTGCCCAGGCTGTCCTTGCTCTGCCCTTTTCTACAGCTGGCCTCCCCTGCCATGCCAAACTTCAGGGGTCCTCCATGTGAGTGTGGGTTACGTGGCACCTCTGTGTTCTGCAGCTTCGTGTGCATACCCCAGCAGAGCACACATTTGGTCACGATTATTTGCTCATCTGTACCCCTGGAAGGTAAACTTCTGGAGGAGAAGGAGATTTCTGTTTCCCTTCTGCTGCCTCAGAGGACCCCAAGATACCTGTTTAATGAGGGAGCTTAAAATAGGGTGCTTGCCAGGCATGGCGGTGCACACCTATAATCCCAGCACTAAGGAGGCTGAGGCAGGAGGATCACTGTGTTCAAGGCCAGTGTGGGCTACAAAGTGAGTTCAAGGTCAGTGTGAACTGTATAGTGAAATCTTGTCTCAAAAAAAAAAAGTATGCTTGCATTATAGCTCTGTGCATGGAGTACTAGGTTATGAGTCAAGAAATTTGAGGTTCAGTGCCCGTTGTCCTGCTAAGTAGGCAAGCCACTCTACCTTCCTGAGCCTCAGTTTCCTTATTTGTAAAATACAGATGTTGATACCTGCCCCAAAGATTTATGGAGAGTGAGATTGTGTTTCTGGTTGAGCAAGATGTACTTTCTTTCACTTTACTCATGTGAAACAATAGAAGGCATTATTTTTCGGGAGGTTGAGGCAGGAGGGTCATTGCAAGTTCGAGAACAACCTGGGCTACAAAGTGAGTTCAAGGCCAAGCTGAACTGCATAGCAAGACCCTGCCTCAAAAAGACCAAAAAAAAGAAGGCATTATTTTAAGTCGATCAGTATAATGTTTAAAAAGATGGACTAGCTAAGCCCAATGGAATACGTGTAAATCCAGCTGCTTGGGAGACAAGTAGGAGGATTGCAAGTTTGAGGGCAGCTAGCCAATTTTGTGAGACTGTCTGAAAATAAAAAGCACTGGGAATCAGGCATGGTGGTGCATGCCTAGCATCCCAGCGCTCTGGGAGGCTGAGGCAGGAGGATGGCAAGTTCAAGCATAGCTGGGCAGCTTAGCAACTTAGCAGGGGCCTGTCTCAAAATAATAAAAACTAAAAGGGCTACAGATGTAGCTCAGTAGTAGAGCGCTTGTCTAGCATGCAAGGCCCTACCTACCTTCAATCCCTAGTGCTGCCCTCCCCCTTAAAAATACTGAAGAAATCTGGAACCAGACTGCCTTAGTTTGAATTGGAAGCCCTATCCCTTGAACAAGTGTCTCCTTATTTGTTTCTTCATCTGTTTTAGAAAAGATGGAGGAGGATAAAAGTAGTGCTTAGAGATCTGAGGACTGTGGGAGTGGAGTCCTGTGAAATGCTCAGGGCGATCTAGCCTGCAGTAAGTGCTCAGGAAGCATTGCCTCTAGACACATGGAATAGGGCCTTGGCCTTCTGCTTTTTGAGTGCTTCCCAGTTGTTCCTGGCTCAAGGCAGACTGGCCTAACAGAGACCCTGCAGTGGTGGCCAACAAGGGTGTCCATTTGGGTGAGCCAGGGAGGGCCAGACAGAGGGCCTGCCGTGCTGAGTGCCGTGTTGTCCATAGCAGCTTTACGGTGTGCAAGCCTAGATTCTCTGATCTTCACTCCCACTTCACCTCATTGCTTCGTCAAGAAAATGCGAAAACCAACAGAATGTCAGCATCTCTGGCTTGGAACCTCAAACTTTAAAGCCACAAGAAACCTGGAAGCATCCCTTTCCTCCAAGCAACCCCTGTGTAACTCCTAGGGCCTTTGCACTGAGCTACATCCTCAGTCCTTTTTTATTCTGTATGCTGAGACAGGGTCTGCCGAAGAAGCTAGATTGCCCAGGGTAGGTTTGAACTTGGAATCTTCCTTCCTCAGCCTCACACCACCATGACCCAACTCCCATTCCAGTTTTCTTTTTTTTGTCTTTTTGAGACAGGGTCTTGCTATGCAGTGCAGGCTGGCCTTGAGCTCACTTTGTAGTGCAGGCTGGTCTTGAACTCACAATGATCCTCCTGCCTCAGCCTCCCGAGTGCTGGGATCACAGGCATGCGCCACCACGCCCGGCTTCCCATTCCAGTTTACATGATGGGGCATGAAACCCTGGAGGGAGAAAATGCCCTGCTAAGGCCACCCAGAGTGTGTGTCACTGAGTCACAGTAACTGAGGATGTCTGACCAGTGCTTTAGGCATTGCCTCACCAAGTAACTAGGAGACACTGGGCAGGTCCCGGGCCCCCAGGGCCTTGTCTTTTACCTGAATTGTCAGGAACTGGCTGTCCTGTGAAGGAAGCCTACCTGGTCTCAAAGGGCAGGGACACTGGGAAGGGCCGTCATGCCCACTTTCCAGCTTTTTGTTTCTCATCTTTCCTGGAGATCTGGAAAACCTTTGCAGATTGGGTTGGCTTAGGCCTGATGGGGGAGGATATCCCACCCTGTCCTCTCTGCTGTTTGTATCTTATCTCTTAAGTCCCCGTTTGATTTCCCCTCATTGTAAACTGAACCTGTGATTTTTTTTTTTTTTTTTTTTGCCTTTTTTTTGGCCTGGTCAGTTAGCAACCACCATTTACTTTCTTTCTTTTTGTGTGTTTGTGTGTTTTTGAGACAGAGTCTTGCTCTGCAGTTTGGGCTGGCCTTGAGCTCACTCTGTAGGCTAGGCTGGTCTGGAACTCACAACGATCCTCCTGCCTCAGCCTCCCGAATGCTGGGATTACAGGCGTGCGCCACCAAGCCTGGCACCATTTGCTATTTATGTCTTTAGTTGGCTCTTATCATCCTAGAAGTGTCTTATATTGTTAGTCTTTATCTTTATGACCAGATTATAATCTTCCTAAAGCCTTCTCTAGTTTACTTAAAAGGCTCCTGGCATGTTGTAGATACTCAGGTGTGTTTTGGGTCTGTCAGGTATTTACTGGATTTATTGCAAGGACTAAGGGAAGAAGAAATGATCACCACCAAGATAGGTAAATTTAAGTTTTGCAACTTTGTTAGGTGAGGTAAAATGTCACCTTGTTGGGGGTAAGAAAGGGTCATTTGGAAATAAATTCTGAATAAGTCCCTAAAGTATAGGTGGAAAATGTACCAAAAAATCATTAAATGTATCCGGCTTAAAAATGACCAGCAGATACTCAGTAATTTTCATACCCTTGTGTTGTTATGATAGTCCCATTTTATTTCTTTGAAGCAGTAAGATGGTCAGTTGTGTTCACTTGAATCTCTCAGTTGTTTGCTTCTGTCCCCCTCTCCTCCTTTTCCCATATCAGACCTAAGGCCTTGAGTAATGTTGGTGGGCAAACCATACCACTGTTGTCCAGCAGGCCTCTTAGAAGTTTGCTCTTTGAAGGGGTCTGCTCTTCACTAGCAGAAAAGATCCTAAGTTACTTTGGCTATTCTGCGGAGTGCAGTTCACATCTCAGGATTGCTTGGCAGTGATCAGAGCTCTCTGGAAGTAACCAGGGAGGACCTAGGTGGGGAGGACTGGGATAGAGTGTCCCTCCCTCTGTTCCCGGCCCTCCCCATTTCTTCCTGCACTGGCTAGAAAGAGTCTTCAGTCAGTGCTGCGGAAGAAGGCAAGCGAGCAATTACCATCTTCCTCCACTGATCATTGAGTGCTGAGTTTGAAGGTTTTACTATGAGCTTTGTAAGAATCGGTGATTCATGTATTTAATGCTCCCTAATATGGCACTTGCCATATGGTGGGCGTTCTGCTGACCCCTTTATGAATGTCAGCTCACTAGTCCTGCAAGGCAGGTACAGTCATGATCGCACCTTATACGTAAGGGAACCGAGGCCCCCAGTGGCTCCTTTGCCCCAGTAGTGAGAGGCATAGCCAGTGTCCAGCCGGAAGGTGGGCTCCAGAATCTGTGCCCTCGTGTGACACTTTTGCCCGTCTACTTTATTCTTACTCATTCTACAGGTTCTTGTTAATAAATGCTTTTTCCTTTTCACCGTGTAGAAAGCATTTTTAACCCCACATCTTTTACTCAAAAAGTCAGTGTTCTGTCTGCCAGGACCAGAGTCAGAGAAAGCATAATCTCTTTTTGACTCTGATGAGTAAGGACTGCTCAGGATCATTCTCTTTGATCAATTTTATGTGCGCAGATTTATTTCAGGGGGAAAAACTGCGCTGTAGAGGCAAGACTGTTATGTAAATGCCGCTGCAGCAGAAGCTTCTAAAGAATTGCCTTTAGAAGGGAGTTGCAGCCGCCACTCCGCTAACTGCCCTGCGTGGAAGGGCTGCGGGCTCCCTGCTGAGAAATACCGAGAGCGGCTTTGTCAGCTGGCCGCCTGGTGCCAGTTGTGGCACAGCCCGGGAGGGATACTGTGGCAGAGCTCCCAGAGAGAAGTGAGCTTTCGGGCCATTCCGGTGGCTCTGGACATAACAAGGGTCGTGTTTCGTAGAACTTAGCCATTCTGTGGCTCTTCCCTGAAACTGTCTCTGTAGACTATAATTTTTAATGGTTTTCAACTTGGTAGATTTGTTTACACATTGATATCAGATCATATACACTTTGTGCAGTTCTTGGTGAGCTAGATTAACTTCTATTTTGGTGTCATTAAATATGTTTCCCATTGCTTAAAAGTAAAGGTTGACAAAAATTGTTTATAGGAAACGTAGCTTTGTGCGTTTGTGTCATCATCGTGGAGACTTTGGGTATTGACTTCCCACCACTGAGCCCAAGGCACTGTGTGACTCGTTAGGTATCAGAAATGATGTTTGTTGATAGTCTACAATGTGCCAGGTGCCAATGTTATGTTCGTTACATTAATTTGTACATCGCTTCTGTAAGTATTACTAGGTTCATTTTGGAGGATAATCAGATTAAGTGATCCCTCCCCCAGATCTGACTCCCAAGTGCCCTCCCCGACAAAATACATTCCATAGCCTCCTGTAGGAGATACCGTGTGTGTGTGTGTGTGTGTGTGTGTGTAAACAGAGTTTTCTAAAAATTTTTCTGCCTGGCGTAGATACTTAAACTGTGGGCTTACTTTACTGGGCTAAGTGTAATTATGAGCTAATGTTTTTATAGTTTATGCCAGCATTTCAAGAATCTTCTCCAGGTTCTCATATTTCCTCTAGGATTTGCCACATGTTAGCAATAAAGAAGATGGCTAATTGTGTTTCTTTATTCTTTCTTTGTTTAGGATGTGATAGGCCAGGTTTTGCCCGAAGCCACAACTACAGCATTTGAATGTAAGTCTGGCTTGCATACTTTCTTGACTGTTTCTTCCTGCAGTAATATTTCAAAGGGTTTATGGGTTGTATTACTTTAGAAACTGACAAAAACAGATTATGTATGATCATCATATGGTACATTTAAATATTTATAAATTAATGCAAGTTTAATGATGATACTGAACCGAGTAATATTTTCTTATTTAATCATATCTTGGGTGTGCATATTTCTACAATATAGCTTTAATTACCAACATGACCTTTATCTGCTCTTGCTCCTCACCATAATAATATTGAGGAACAAAATGAAACGTGTAAACTACCTGTAGGCCAATGATTATTGATTAAGAGATTTTAATCCTTTATGGCTTTGAAACACGGCAGTAGAGTTGAGCTTTTATGTGAGCGCCGCACGGAACAGTTCTGTTTGAGTGGGGCTCCCAGCACTCCGAGTGATGGTGGAAGTCTCTCGGGTCTTGCATCCTTCCCCTCTTTGCCGAGTTGGCTCCTGGACAGTGCTGGGTTTCTTAGAAAAGTAGTATCAATGCAAACCAGGTCACTGCAGGGGAGGTCATGCTGTGAGCTTAGCCAGTAGCATTGGGGCTCAAGTGCTGATAAGGGCAAAGGGAAGGTTTGGAGCTGGGATACTCATCTTATTTTGAAGACAAAGGCCAATTTTCCATGTAGAAATATTTGTTTTCTCCACATGATAGCATAACTTTATTTATCTATTTAGTGGTACCGGAGATGGAACCCAGGACCTTCATACTGAGCTATAGTTCCATGTCTGTGTTAGTTGCTTTTCTCTTGTTGCTGAGACAAAATAACCCAGTATGCACAAGTTAAGTGAGGAAAGGTTTATTTAGCTCACAGTGTGTAAAGGTTTCGGGCCATAATCGACTGGCTCCCAAGCAGGGTGACATAGGACAGAGGGGCAGCAGTTCATGGCAGCGGAAGACAGCAAAAGCAACAGAAGGGAGGGAGAAAAGACTCCTTCTGTCCTTTATGTTGTATGCAGGCTACCTGCCCTGGGGGTGGGGTATAAGTCACACCCTTAATCGTAGCCAGAACTATGCAAGCTAAACCAATCCGTGGGCTCATTTACTGATCACACACCCTTAATCCCAGTATCACACACTCTAGATTCAGCCACGTGTGAAAAAGCTCTTTGACCACGTGAAGTTCTGGTGGGGACATCTAGATACAAACCGTAACAATCTCCATGGCCTTTTTCTCTTTTTTTTTTTTTTTTGTACTGGGAATGGAACTCAGGACCTTATGCTTACCAGGCAGGCACTTGTGCTGCTGAGCTACATCCCCACTCTCCATCTCCTTTTTCTTAAAAATTCTGAGACAGGGTATGATAAAGTCATTAACTTGCCCAGGCTGGGCTCACATTTGGCAGTCCTCCTGCCTCAGCCTCCCAGAGTGCTGGGGTTACAGGCATATGCCACCATGTCCCTCTGTGATAATACATTTTTTGTTCCTGTTTTTTAAAGAAGATGGCTAGTGACAAGAGGGTACAATGGGGACATCCTTTTGGAGGTCAGTTTGGCAAAACTTACCAATGTCATAAAATGTGCAAAACCTTTGACTCAGCATAGCCTCCATTTGGACACATGTGCTGAATGCCCTTCAACCAAGGTGTTCACTGTGGGATTATTTTTAGTAGCCAAATATTGGAGGTAAGCAAAATGCCTTCTCAGTGGTTTAATAAATTATATAGATACATATCCTGAAGTATTAAGAAGTAGCTGAAGAGAATAAATTAGGGTCTTGTGCATTGACATGGAAAGACAGATATTACTTACTGTTGGGTAAGCAAATGATGTAGGGCATGACCCCATTTTATACACACAGCTACCCCCTCCCCATATAATATTTTGGGGGAGCAGGACCTGAGCAGTGCACACGGCAGTGCTTTCCTGGGATATCCCCTGGACAGTGGATGTGGGGTCTTGGAGAGGTCGTGGTGGGTAAATGAGCTCACTTTTGACTTTAAGTGTTCCTCTAGTGTTTGAATATTTTCAACAGTCATTACTTGCTTTTCGAAAGCTATCAGGAGTAGGAGTGTTAATATAATTAGCGTTGTATTAGCTAGACTGTATGAGAAGCACAGCGTGTACCTGAAATACACACAGTGTTACAAGTTCTGCACAGACTTCTCTCGGTGGCTCCGTGGGGTGCCGGGTGTCACTGCCAGCCTGTGAGTTAGCATTTGGGGACTTCCAGCGAGCATTCCGTGGTTAGCTCATTCAGTCACGCCCACGAGATCGCCACAGAGTGCAGTGATGGACTGTCAGCAGCTCTGTTTTAGCCAAGCATGGACATTGCCTTTAAGGACATCACCTTTAAGGGCGTCTTCTTCAAGGAAAGGATTATCTGTGGGCATCTTGCTCAAGCCAGTGGTCAACTGGAATTTCTGGAGCAGATTCCACTGCGTACATTTGCAGCCACTGTGCTGACTTGCCCTGAGAGTTGTCGTAACTGAAATTGTGTCTTCTCGCTTTTTTTAAGCACGCCAGAAAGAAGCTTACTTTGTACTCTTGCTTTCTGGGCCCTGAGACCTGTGCCTGCCCCATGAGCTCCCTGAGTTACAGTTATGAAAACAACTTGGGTTATTTTAACTATCTTTTATTCATGGGCTCTTCTGTGCCAGCCAGTGCTCTGGTGCTTTACAGAGATTGCTGCTGTGGCTTTAGTAATCTTTACACTCACTCTGTGAGGTGGGAGGAGTGTACCTGTGGGAACACTAAAATTTGGAGACCTGAAATGATTGCCAGAGGTGACCCCTAGGGAGTGGTGGGGCCCAGACCCAAACACACATCATTTTGGCTGTAAAATATGCACTTTTATAACCAAGCATGTAAAAAAAAACACAAAACCCTGTGAAATGTAAATATAGAAAAAGTTTAGACTTCAAGGATTAAGTGAGTTGACATGGTATTCTTCCTTTTTCCCATAACAGGGGCAGCAGATTTGTACTCAGCTGCATCTGGACTAGTTTTAGATAATAAATAAATAAATAAATAAATAAGCAAGCAAGCTAACAAATCGAAAAGAAAACACCCAGAGAAAATAATGGCAAGCCTTAGATTTTTTGTGTTTTTGGTTTATAATGTACTTTCCATTATAGACTTGCAATCCTAGGCTGCTTTTTTCATGGTTGTTCTAGGGAACAGAAATCTGAACCGGTAAATGGAATCAATCAATCAATCAATTAATTTATCTATCTTAGCTATCTGAAATAATTAATATATAATTCATAAGCTGTTTTAGTGGAATTTGGGGGAAATTTTCAGTGGTTTATGAGTACAGTGAGCAAGACTCAAATAAATACTATTCGAAGAAATATTTACAGTAGTATATTTTATATCAAAAAGTTTACCTAGTGCTAATTGATTTCTTACACAGAGGAGATGCTGTTGCCAGGCCTGGTGGCACATTCTGATAATCCCAGCACTCTGGAAGGCTGAGGCAGGAGGATCGCAAGTTTGAACTTAGCCTGTGCAGTTTAGCAGAACTCTGTCTCAAAATAAAACTGGGCTTGGGAACTCATTATGAAGACCCTGGGTTCAATTCTCAGTATTGCAAAAAGAGAGAGAGAAGGAGAGAGGGAGAGAGGGAGGGTTATTGTATTTAGTGTTCCCAGTTAAACAGCAAGAGATAGGGCAGCTGTCAGATCTCTATTTTACCTAAATATGGAGAGAAGGAGAGTTGAAAGAATGGAAAAGGGGAAAGATCAGGTGGTGAGCAGATTGTCCAGTGCCGTCTCTTTGGTGAAACCACTGATAATTCCAGATGGGGATCATCTGAGCACCTTCACTACAGTGGGGAGCCTTCTGGCTCTTGTGTGGGGGATTCCCCTCCCTCCCTAGATTTTGGTTACTTTGTGATAAGCACTGTGCTTTAATTCACTTCTGCTCTCTTCGGAGTACTAAGCTTTAGCACCTTAGAGGAACACACTTGTTGAACAGAATGGAATGCTATATGTGTTCATATTCAAATGAAAATGATAAAATACGCATGACCTAAAGCCAAATGAGTGATTTCCTTTTGGGGGTTATTTGTGCTATTGTTTGTGTATAGGATATAACTGTTTGTGTGTACAGTTCAGTCCCCAAATTCAAATTCCCTTACTTACTAACCCGGAGGGGGGTGGGCGCCAGGTTCTGTCATTGTTACGGCTCATGTCTAGATGTTCCCCCAAAGCCTCATGCAGTCAATTACAGGTGAGGCTTTTTCAGAGGTGTTTGAATCTAGAGTGTGTGATTGATTCGTGGTACAATGCTAGGATTAAGGGAGGGTAGTTACTAAGTCAGACCACCAGTTGGTTTGGCACTGCCCTAACCGCAGTAGCCTGGGTACAATATAAGGGACAGAAAGAGGCTTGTCTTGTCTCTTGCTTGCTTTGCTACTTTCTGCCCACCATGAACTTTTTCTCCTCTGAGATGCCTGTCTGCCATGCTGCCCTGCCTAGCCAATTATGGACTGAAACCTCAACAGACTGTGAGCTAATAAACCTTTCCCTGTTTAACTTTGAATGTCAGGTATTTTGTCTCAGCAGTGAGAAAAGTAACAAAGACAGGCATGGTCCTCAGATGGTGTTTCCAGACGGAGTGAAGGCTGGACGGGAGGAGGGAGGCCTGTCTGTGCTTAACTCACCTTTCGGACTGATGATACTGAACCTCTTTTCTTTTCTTACCTCTTTTAAGTCTTTTCTCCCTCATACCTAGAGCACAAATGAAAGTTCTTGTTAATAGCTGGTGTTTAATTATTTTTCAAATTAAAAGATATGGATAATCTTTTAAAAAATCAAGCAGCATAGAAACAAAACAAAAAGTAAAATCCCCGTTTCCTCACATCCTCTGCTTTCCTTGTTAGCACTTTCTTCCGTCTCCTTGTGGAGATTTTCTCCGTGCATGACCCGAGACAAGCTGCACCTGCTTTCCACTGCTTCCTCTTGAATAGCACATGTTAGAACTCTTGCCAGCGTCAGTGTGCATGGGTTTTCTTCG